ATGCGCTCTTCAAATGGAAATCACAAGTATGAGGTTTGACCTGGGCGCGACTTTCACTGATTACCGCCGGTGACTCTTTCGATACCTTCCAATAACATGAAAATTACCCAATTAAAGCTTGGAAACGTCTCAGTTCGTACTCGTTGATTTGCGCAACAGTCAAAGTCGCCATCTTTGTTTATATGAGACCCATATATCTCGCACATGCGCAGCGCGACGACTACCGCGCTTTAAGTAGGTAATAATGGACGACGCATTTCCCATCTTCATGTGATAACAGAGATAAACGAGAATGTGGGACAAACAGTGCAGTATACGTGGAGAGGTGGCTTGAGAGGAAAGAAATCAACAGTGTAATAAACATGCAACGTAAAAGAATCATGATAGGATTGTTGCTCGAATCTCGGTCCCTTGCAAACGTGCGAGTCACGCACAATCACGCGTTTATGTTGGTTCAATGATCCCACTCACTGTCCTGTTATCGACTGATAAAAGGGCTGCACGTGAGACCGATCTACAAACGGCAGCGCAGAGTTATTTATAATATCCAGTACCAAACACCTAGCTTGCCGCTTATAGCTTCTAAATACGTGCTGGTCTGGCTCAAGAAAATGCATTTTGCGAAAAAACACTAGTATTCCGGTTAATGCAAACAAAATAAAAATATAAATGTTAAGTTTCCTACCTGGTGACCAAACTGGTTGCAGGGAAATCCCAACACTTGCAGCTTATCGCCAAATTTGGCGACCAGCTCATTCAGTTGGGTATAGTCCCTGACGGTCGTGCCTCAGAGGGACGCCACGTTTTCAATCAGAACGACTTTGTGTTTGTAGCTAGAAAAGTTGATCTCTTCGCCGGTCAGGGACTTAGCAGTCAAGTCGTAGAACGAATTTGCGATAGGTGGTTCCATTTCTGAGGAGTCTTGCGAGAAACTCCGATTGAGGTCAGACTTTCGGTGGTACCGGTGTATATTCATCGCTGCTACCTGTAGAGTTACGCCGTGAAAGCTAAAGCTGGTGCGACTACAGGCTGCCGTTAACTGGCGGCATATAAAGAACATCTCGACGACCAGGTGTTTTTGTACCGTGAGTGTACTGTATATTAGCCGTGTACAAGAAACACAAGTATGTCGCGGCGTGTGAAATATCAGAATAATGGGTCAACAAGCGTTTCCCATCGTCACGTGACAGGTCATGACGTCACAGTACTCGTGGAAACGAGTTCACAAGAGTTCGCCTGTGAGACCGAAGGTGAATTTTTTTTTTTTTTTTTATTTAAAATGAATTTATTTGTATCAAAAATATGACGAAACGCAATTAGTGCGTTTTATTACACGTACTATATTAAACTTCCGGGTGATAAGGGCTGGACCATTTGTAATCATGGGGGTGGTCATGAACATTTTAGGAAAAACAAATTGCAAACTTACATTTGCTAGAAAAAAAACAAAACAATGTGTGTTTTACAACATATAATCACCAAAATGCCAAAGAAATAATGTAAATGTTTACGAACATTTTTTTATTTATTATTCCATAAAAGTAGAGTTAATACACATACACAGTTACGTAACCAGTGAGTATAATGAAATGTTCCATTCTCTAACAGATAATGCATTGCCTGACACGTTCACAATGTTATGGGATATCTCAAACAACTGAGGTCGCATGACTACCCTAAAATGAATAGGACACAAAATAGGTCTATTCCATGACTATAGAGTCTGCATTTTTAAAAATGATTAAAAATTAAAGTAATATATACAAGCATTCTGAGCACAGTCACATGGAATAACGACAATTCATAAATTAAAAATAAATAAAAATAAATTATATAACGTGTAAAGTAAAATAAAATGAAATAGTAACTGTTAATTGTGTTAGTGACTGTACCATTTAAAAACAACAAAATTAAATTGAATGTTTGGGGAGAATTCAGCATGTTAAAAATATGATATTATTCAAAATTACACATTATCCAGCTTTTGTTCAGTCAAAGCAAAAACTCCACATTATACAAAATTGTATAATCCACACTTACACCAGTTTGACATTTTGAATCAAATAGTAGACCAAAATATAAGTGCGTTATTCATGCTAAGTTTAGATGAAATCAGCCCAGGCACGGCATGAAAAACATGGCGGACGAAAGTGTGATACAAAATACACTAGTTTCTGGGGATAATAATGAAAAAAATATTTGCTTCTGTACCAAATTTAAATCAAAATAGAGTACATCAGTAAACCGCCGTCAGTCATTATCAATGCCAAGTTTAATTGAATCGGTCAAACTTTGGTGTTTTTGTAGAATTAATACTTCAGAAAACTTAATTACTTTGTCAAACACCAAGCTGATTGTTTTTTTTTTTAATTTTTATGCTGTTAATTAAAAGAACAATCTAAATATTAGAACAATTCGACAATGGTGCAACTAATATGCCAGTTGTGTCACCAAGTTGCATTGATGTTGTCATGACGATGACATGGGGCGACGCCCTTAGCCGTGGAGTCCACATGCCGTCATGACAACTCATGCAAAGTATTAGAACTATTGGTTGAACGATTAACACTGTCGATTTTAAAAATGAGGGGTTCTAGCGTAATAGGAGGGAAGAGGACCGGGGGATTATGGCGACGATTGAAGTTGTAATAAATATCTGGCTGTACTGATGTTCTTATGACTGAATGGTGCGTATAAGTGTTGAGCGATCCTAGAGTACCACTCGCTGCCTTGCGAGTTACCCATTCCCCGTTACAACCACTTGCCATTACGAACTAAAGACTGAAAAATAAATATAAATCTCAATGTTTTTGACATAATTGTAATGTGTGAACGCACCAAACATGTAGTTTCCGACGGGATTATTGCATATTTAAACACTTAGTTAGTATTTTGGCTAGAACAGGTTATTTGCATATTGTCTTGTCTCTAGCGATCGCGAAAGTATTTCAAATCAGTGATGTGAAAATAATATGCAAAATATATGTGATAAAAATATGATGTATTTGATGCATTGTACTGCATGTGTTTCTTTCTTATAAATGTTTTATTATTTTGTAATTGTTGTTATCGTCAGTACGTACAGTTTTTCTGTAAGTTTATCATTGTTTAATGCAACGAACATCGATATATGATATATATACTACCCAGTGATATATATTCAAGTTATTTTTTGGAAGATACTTTGATCATACATGCTACACCCAACATAACAGCTTGATCGGTTAAAACACGTGACTACGTGACTGATCAAAATTATATTATTTTTAATTATTATTTAAAAAATGTTGAGTTGATGGGTTAAAGCACCGATACGAATAAAAATGTCCCAAATTGTGGTAATTCCTGCCAGAAAGCGAGGCTAAACCACGGGAATGATAAACAATATTTTATTTTTCTCATAAAAAACTTTGGCGATACAATGTACAAAATATCAAGTTGATCAGTTAAAGCACTCGGAAGAAACAAATGCCCCAGATTAGTGTCACTTTCTAAGAAAATCCAAAATGGCAGCAATATCACGTGACTGATCAAACTATGTTATTTTTTCCTATGGTCATACATGTTATATACGACATATCAAGTTGATTCACGAGAAACAAATCTCAAAACTTTTGGTAAGTTTTGTCAAAAGATGACAGCAAAATAACGTGACTAACTTATTAAATTATTTTTTTTTTCCGGAGGAGGTTAGTTGAGAGATGCAACACGGCAAATTGTGAAGAAATAGAATAACAGAGGCTGCAGTTATAAATAACTGTTTAATAAAAATGAATAATAAAAACATTTTATACCAAAGTAAATTTAAATTCATGTAAATTAAAATATATCTGTAATCATTAAACAAGGGGACTGTCTGAAATAAGCCGAGAACCATACTATGATTTTTGATTGAGATGACAATCTCCCTTTTTAAATTGTCATCCAACCAAATGATTTTAAACGCTCCTCGTATGACGAAGTGGTTTAACTTCTAACCACATATATCTTGGTACTTACAGAAAAGGTTTTAGCACGTATGAACAATAACGCCGCCTTTAAAGCCCGCCCACAATGTCAGACTTGCTCTTTGATTCCATTTATTCCAAGTATTTTAATGAAACATGACGGCCGATAACAACAACGCCGACTCAGTTTAGTCGTTACACACGTCTTCATATTAGTCTTTATGGACACAGGGCCACGTGTGAACACGATATTAGTGTCTTTGATAAAACATCATTCAGTATTTGCTTCTACTAAAAGATGTGGCACTATTTTTGAAATTTCAATCGCGTAGGATGTGAATAATGCTAATTGGAAATGTACGTTGTCATACATTTGTTTCAAATGAGCAAGAATCGTATTTATTTGGCTGTTCTATTTACTGTACACACTCCTATATTCACGGTATTTATATGGGATCTATATATGTAAGGCTATGCATGCTGTTCCTTGAACTCAATAATCAATCACATTTGTTTTACAGTTTCATTGTAAGTTTGATGATATATTTCACAAGTTTAAAAAATCAATTCAAATGTTGCATGAAAATTTCATTTGAGTATTGTTCTGTGATAATACGCGCTTAGCTAATTTAATTTACGGAAAGAGGAAGAGAGGGAGAAAGTTAGTCGCATTGTTATGACAATGAAATTTATCACTGAACAACACAACAGAGACAAATACGCTTAGCATCATACTCTCAATTTCCATAAATGCCTGTTCTCGTATTTTGCTGATATTTCTGACTGCTAATTTGATGTGATCTGATAGAGTTGTCTTCTCAGTTGTTAACCTGTTTTCAAGTGAAATGATCACATTCTCTGGACTGACACTTTTGTTGCCTTTACTTCGTGCTCCATTATTATAATCAGTGTATTCCAATTTGTCATTTATACGGCCATTATAATCTGAAACAGCGACCTCAGCGATGATCGTTGCCATACTAATCGTGGACTTTGTACCCAAAACACCCATTGATCACAGTATATATTGATTGCCCAAATTTTGGCTGCAATGTTGTATGAAGCTGACTTGTGTAGACTTCGGACTCTAGCAAAAGCGCGTACTGACCATAGTATGAGCAATCATAGTTGTAAATTTCCAATGCATACGACACATAACTCAAACATGTCAATTTCAACTGCACCATCTTTGCTACATACTGAGTATGTTGCATGATTCCTGATTCCTGACAAAGGCATTTTTTGATAACTCATTGATAAGTTTGAATACTGGATTTTTGGTCTGTCTTCTCGATCAGTGTAGTTTTACTTTGTCATCTGTTTTTTTTTGGGGGGGTGCCTCGTGCTTTTTTGCATACTATTAGGGGAAAGGTAATCTCTTGATCATAAACTGATACTCACATGACCTGATTTTACTGACAAACTCTAGACCTCATTTTCGTTCTGAGGAGGGAGGAGGGACCATTGAATGCCCTTGTCCTAAATATTTGGTATAAACAAATTAACACATTTTTTGTTTAAAAAATGCCACTTAATTACTGGTTATAATCATTAGCATCCGTCTTTATGTAATCTTTTTACCATAGAAATCAACATACGATAAAAGAATCAAAATGCGCCTTTTTCATAGTCTTTTTTTTATCTAGGACCAAACAAAACATGCTCAAAAGGCGTTAGACTCGTAGCAACATGCACAAAATTGTTTGTTTACATGAAACCGTCCTTTAAGATCAAGGAAATCTTGTAATCCGTCTAACCCCACCCAAATACATTTACCTTAAATGCCAATATATGAAAACACAAGTATAAATAAGTGTATATTAATTTTATTATTTCATTTCTCGAGTTACTTCCACGTTCATACAAAAAACTATGACATTGCAAGTGCGTTTACTGGGGATCCGACACCACCGGCATTGGGAAGTTTACGATGACGTCATCATAAAAGTAAAACCATCAATGTAACAGTTTTTTTCGAAGATGAAAATTAACCACTGTTTATCACTATTGCAGTTCATTAGAGTAAAACGAGTAATTTGCAATTATTCCAGATGTGTATGTGGGTAAATAATTTGTGAATACAATTTTTGGGCTCGAATACAATCAGTCTGATGAAGGTATAAACTATGGTCGCTTTTAATGTACGATCATTGGTTTATCGGATTCGGTGAAAATGCCTCTGTAAATGCAGATCGCGTTCAAATCTCACAGGAAGAGCAGCAAATCAGAGCGTGTTTGTAGTCCACTTACTAGAATATCAATTGTTTTAGTAAGACGCGCTCTAATCGGTTGACAAATCCCGTCAGAGGAGTGCTGCCAAACGTGATTTACATGGGTAGTTGTACAAATGAAGTTAGAGTGTAACCTAGCAGCCATCAACTAGTGATCGCAGATTGAAAGCAACCAGAGCCTCTACCTACATCAATATTTAATCAAATTATAATCATATTAATCATCTTTTGAATTTGAAGTTGAGGTTAAAGAAGATTTTCGATGTCTTTGGCTATGTTGATGGTCTCAAAATGGCGACTATATCTCTTGATTGGGTTTCCTTTACTGTCGATTAAGAACTTCTCAAAATTCCACGATAGGTCGGTTCTTCTTACAGGGCTCCAGATGATGGCACGTGGGTCGGCCATAAGAGATTCGCTGTCATCACTTGGGGTCGGTAGATGAGACTTCAGATAGCGAAATACTGGATGGGTGTCTTTTCCATTCACTAACACTTTAGAAAACAATGGAAAGTTTGGCACGAAACCATCTCCAGGCCGGACGTACTTAAGGCTGTTTAGGATCTCCTCTTCCGTGGCATTTTCCTGAAAAAAAGTTAAATTATTAAATAATATAAATTAATATAGCTGCATCAATTTTATGGTGCAACAAAAACTGTCGACAAATTCCGCGTGAAGAGACAAATTTAAGTAAAATTATGTCTATCCACATCTAAATCACGTATGAATATATTAGCTTCTAAACCAATTTCATAAAATATTAACAAATTTAAAACCTACGTTCCAAAAAAATTTAACGTTTGAAAACCCACTTCAAAATTGTACAAGATAATATGCCCACACCAACAGTCAGTAATCATAGGTGGAACCGACTGTTGCACCACGCTACGAGTTCAGCATTGTATATAGCTACATGTAATTATTTTAGGCAAACAGTGTCATTCCAACGCAAATCAAGTTTCGCCCCTACGAGTACCTACTTGATATAAGTCAACTCTACTCTGACTAATGACTAATTTTAAACATTATCTATTCAAATTGTGTCACGCTTTGTCCGTCGCATTTCGAACAATGGCGCCCAATGTTGTAATAATACTACATCAAATATTAAAATGTTTGTAACTTGGACAAGTTAATGTCTTACACGTGTAAACAACACGAATATGAATGTTAGGTTTCCTACCTGGTGACCAAACTGGTTGCAGGGAAATCCCAACACTTGCAGCTTATCGCCAAATTTGGCGACCAGCTGATTGAGTTGGGTGAAATCCCTGACGGTCGTGCCTCAGAGGGACGCCACGTTTTCAATCAGAACGACTTTGTTTTTGTAGCTAGAAAAGTTGACCTCTTCGCCGGTCAGAGACTTAGCAGTCAAGTCGTAGAACGAATTCACGACAGGTGGTTCTACATCTGAAACGTCTTGCGAAATACTCCGATTGAGGTCAGACTTGCGGTGATACCGGTGTATATTCATCGCTGCTACCTGTAGAGTTATGCTGTGAGAGCTAAAGCTGATACCGTGACGACTACAGGCTGCTGTTAAATGGCGGCATATACAGAAATCTAGACAACCGTTTTATTGTACCTTGAGCACAGAATAAACACGCTGTAACGACTGTATGTTAGTACTAGTAAAGATCAAAGGTCATGTTATCTGATAAAATGGGCGTTGATCACAATCACGCTATAGGTTACTCAGGTCATTGTAGAGCGCGTAACTGTGGGCGAGATTGTATATTTCTCAATTCATTTCAATAACACGATGGTTTGTAATTTGTGGTTTATAAAGTGATAACTACAGCCTGTTGGTTTATACACGTAAAATCAACAACCACACTGTCAATCCTCGGGGGCGGACATCCGGGCATTTTCACCGCCTGGCAACCCGCGGCGGTGAAAACAAAGGCCCAAAACTCGCAGAAAACGGTACTTTGGGGGTGATTGTTGAGACTCCTCTGACCAGTGCAACAAGATTAGCCCTACGTGTGTAACATATATAAAGTTGATTGTTCGGGATTACTTCAAAGTTGAGTTTGTGTTGTTTTCTCGAATTTTCACCGGCTCGACCAGTGTTCCACAGCAGCGCGCACAGAGCCCATGGTACAGTGGTGCGCGTCTTAGCAACGTGGAACGTCTGTGACGTAGCTCCGCCCCCGAGGATAGAAGAGATAATTATGTGCCCCGGGTGCATACCTATATCACAACATGCCAGGAGTGAAAATGCCTTTTTAGGGACTATTATTTTGGGTGTTTGTTGTAGTATGAGATGTTGTTTGTGAATTTTAAAGATTGCGTAGTTTTTTTTTTGATTTCCTTCACTGTAATTTACTACACCAGAATCGACTCAATTAATATCACAGTTCCTTGGCGTAGATTAAAATAGCTAATAGTAGTATGAGATATTTTGTGTCATCAACTCGTTAACAATACAATATACAGTTCGACTGGATATCTACAGTGTATTGTGGCATAGCATTTTGAAACATCGAAATATCGTCCTGACTCCGGAAGTAGCGTTATATCATATCAGTGACGTCCTATCACCGTATATACACCCTTGACAATTACTAGTAGTTACCATATATCCTATCAAGATATCAGTAATTGATAAATGACATATACAAGTTCACATCAAGATATTGGTTGGCCGCCATTCGTCACCTAGCTTGTTTCCGAAGTGCGCCATCTACGCTTAGGGCCTCTAACACGCGTTTTCAACTGGGTTTTCCAGTTCAAAAGCGTGAACATAAATCGCATAAAGCGAATCGACTCACAACACCCATACATAGAACCCAATATCATAACAAATTATAATATACAATCGGAAAGATATGATTTAGATACACGTGCTCGTTACCTAAGTATCACATTTCGTACAATCGACATGATGGATTTAAAACTCAAAATTACACGTGAATAATAATTTCCACATACAACTGATACTCACTGACACTTGCTTGGTCACCCTTTGCCATGGAGCAAATAGAAGATGAATATTTGATTGTGAATATTTCTATATATCTATTATTTTAAGTTGCAAAAAAAAAAAAAAAAAAAAAAAAAAGATTTCTGAACTCTTTTGGCCGCTATTTACCACGGATTTCATTTTGAAGAGCCAATGACACGATTACACAATCAGTGGTTAGTATGAAAAAGCGTTGATTGAACAGGAAGTTCCTCTGTGACAACTTGACATGGGAGTTGACTACGGAAAAACGATATTGTAAAAATAAATCCATTTCTCTCACCGGTAAAAAGGGACCGACACTCCATATAAAAATGTCGATAAAACCATTACTCATCAAAGCAAGTTTGAAATGACATGATTTTATAGAGAGTATATTGATTACGATACAGATCGACAATTCAGAACTCATTTATATATTGTTCAACTTACGTACGTTATTAATCGTTACTTTTGACATCTGACGTATTTGAAAATCATGAAGCAGATATCATTAGTGTCGACGGTGTTATCGCATTAGTATATTTCAATAATTGTAGTAGATCAATACAGTAGAGTAATTCGCTGTATAAAATAAAAAAAATCACTGAATCCTTCAACCCAAAATTTTATTTTACATATAGTATATATACTCAAAATACATTCATTCATTCGACAACACACGAATTAGATTACGATAAGATTTATCTAATAATTAAGAAATATGTTATTTTGAGTTATAAACTGCCAATTATTTAACTGACCCAAGGAGATGGCTGACAGAACATGGAATGAAACTTACTGGATGAAATGTTGTGTAAGGCTATTTCACTCATATTAGTTGCAGCTTACGAGGGGCGTTCAATAAGTAATCCCCCTGACCCATTTCCCATAGGAGTTTAATGAAACTTGGCAAGGTTGTTAGTCTTTCTCTACATAGAAACCACCCAGAGTTATGCATTTCTCCCATCGTTTGATGCAGCTCTGGACACCGTTTTTGTAGAATACCCCAGGTTGGTCCTCCAACCACGTCATAACTTCAGAAATCAAGGCTGCGCATATGGGAAACGCTTTCCTTTCAAAAACAACTTCATGGCTGGGAAGAGATGAAAGTCAGAGGGTGCAAGGTCAGGAGAGTAAGGGGGATGGGGGAGGATTTTATAGCCACACGCCCACGCTTCCGATCTGGCGACATGCGAGTTGTGGACCGGGGTGTAGTCCTGCAGGAGGAGGATACCTTTGCTTATCTTGCCCCGCCTCTTGATTTTGATAGCTTCCTTTAATTTCATCAAAAGTGAAGCGTAATAGGCTACTGTAATTGTGGCATCTTTTGCCAGGAAATCTGTCATCACTACTCCGTTCTGGTCTCAGAAGACTGTGAGCATGGCCTTGTCAGCGGAGGGCTGCATCCTTGCCTTCTCAATGTACATGCGTCCATTGGGCGAGTTATTGCGACGTCACGGCGTAAAATA